GTAAAAGGCGAATGATAAAAATGAGGCATAGACTGACTAGGTTGAGATGGAAAACACTGCCTTCTTTTAGATTAATCTGAGCAGATTTCATGGCAGGAGGGAGTTGAAGAACAATTTGAAATAACAAGAGTAGTAACTGATGCTTCAAGAATGTCCAAAATAGTATATGCATCCTAAACCAATCTTATGTCAGAGATTTGAACAAATAGTATGGCATAAATTTGACTTAGAAAAAGAGGGTGATTAGATGAAGAAGAAGAAAAAAAGACAAGGGAAGAGAGTGAATTAGCTTTGAAGTGTGAAACACTTAGAGGTGATCTAATGTACAACATTGAGTACCTGAGACAGAACACTTAAAATTATGATGGCACAGGCAAAACTATGAACATTGAAGAACATATGGTTGTACGAAATTTTGTTATGAGACCTTTACTTTGAATAAAGAGCTATCAGCCTACCCTTTTCAAGGAGAATTTTTCTCATTACTGTACCTCAGCTAATGGAAACTGAGATATCCAGTAGGGACCTAAAGAGATGAAGCCAAGAAATGGGTAGTAAAGAGAAGTAGTGACTACAAAACAAGGAGGGAAGACCAGTAGAGAGGATGATATGCTCAGTGGAGAACAGAGATGTGATACCTGAGAATATAGTAATAACAAGTATTGATAATGGTGCTTTAAAGTTTGCAAAGCATTTCCCATGTTATATCATATGATCCTTGCAACAACCCTATGAGGTAGGTGCTATTATTATCCATATTTTACAGATGAGGTGAGGCTGAAAAAAGTAAAGCAACTTGTCCATGGTTTCAGAATTAGTGAGGGTATGAGCATCTGAACTTAGGTCTTCCTGATTGGCTATAGCCCTCTATAGATTTACACCTACGTTGGTACAAAGAGACAACATTCTTGGCAATGATCACATGCTCAGTGGAAAGGAGAGATTTGATTCCCATTAGAGCACAGCAGAGAATAGTTTGATGACATTGAAAGAGGAAACCAACGGCTCTATTGTATCACTTGTGAGTTTCTTTGGCTGAACCAGGCAGTTCCTGAGGAATTCTGAGGCACAGGATTCTACATTGTATGCTCTCTCTATGTATATTACCTCCATGTGTTTTGCCTGGTTATATATGTTCTTTGCATCTTTTCTATGCTGGGTGGTGAATTCTCTAAGTCCCTTGCAGCTTTGAGGCTCTGAATATGAGCTAGCTAAGTGGCCAACAGAGTTTTACAGATACAGGTATGTATAGGTATAATTTTACACATTCATAGATGGGGGGGGTGGAATGGGAATGGGAACAAGCCCATAAAATGTATAATAAATCTTCATCTCTGTTGGTCCACATAGTACATGCTAAATAGTAGTAAGCACTTTGTTTGTGGAACTGATGTATTTTTTTCAGTGCTGCATTCATTCAGTCAGTCAGTCAGACAGTCAGCCAGGCAAGCAGTCATTCGACCAGTCATTTCACTAAAAATCTGTATAACTAGCAAATGACATTTTACATATGGGAAAGAATTTTTTAGGAGTGAAAAGTTTTTTGCAATTAGATAATAAACTAAATCATAAGATAACCTGAGTGGGATATGGCCAAATTTATAGGAAAATAAGAGAAATGTCAGACAGATAAAATGTGACTTTAACATATCTTTCATCCAGTACTTGACTTATAGTAAGTGCTTAATAAAGGCTTACTCATTTATCTACTCATCTGATTAACTTATATGCTCATAATTTATTATTATCAAAACTTTGTTGTATAAAATCTAGTTTATTCAGAGCTACAAGTAGAGATAAACAAGGTGAGTAGCCTAGGGTATAATATATAGGGAGAGAATACTGAATGTTGTGCAATGCTTTTGTGTATGGGGGTGATCACTCTAAGATTACCTTTCATCTACCATTTTTGTGAGTCTATGTGTATGTAAATGTTTATATATATACACACACAGGCCCCATATATACAAATATGCATGTCTATATGCATGTAAGTATATACACATATATGAGGGGTAGCATAGCATAGCTAATACAGAACCAGACTTATAGTCAGGAAGACCAGTATTTAAGTTCTGCCTCAAAGGTAGAGAGATAAATGATAAATAGATATAGATACTGATTTAGGTGGCATAGTGGATGACGTGCTGGGTTGGGAGTCAGGAAACCTCATCTTCCTGAATTCAAATCTGGCCTCAGGCACTTACAAGATTTCTGCCCCTGGGAAAGGCACTTAACGTTGCTTACCACAGTTTCTTCATCTGTAAAATGAGGTGGAGAAAAAAATAGTAAAATCATTTCAGTATCTTTACCAAAAAACAAAAACAAAAACAAATGGGGTCATGAAGAGTTGGACATGAATCAAAATTACTGAACATACAGATATTCAATACATGAATATATCTAATATATGTTTATGTGTATGGGTTTTTTGCATGATGCATTTTGTTTTACCCATTGGACTGTGAGATCCTTAAGAATAGGGACTAATTTTGCCTTTCTCTATGTCCACAGCACTTAGCACAGTGCCTGCATATAATCAGTGCTTAATAAAATCTTGTTGACATGGTGTCATTTTCTAGTAAGGAAATTGGATCAAGAAATGCAGATTGGCACCTGCTTTGAAATATATAGTCTTGGAGAATTGCCTAGGGAAACTCAGAGATTAAGTAACCTAACCTATGTCTTATGTTAAAGGCAGGGTTTGCATGACTGCCTTCCTGACCCCAAGGCTGGCTGTTCTATATTCACTATGCCATGTTACCTCTCACATATGTTGTAAATATGTGCATATGTATATACCCATACATATAAAACAACCATTTAGTAAAAGTACAACTTGACCGGGAGTCAAGTGATGCATCTAAGACACACTGGCCGTTTGAACCTAAGACAAGTCACTTAACCTCAGTGTCCAATACAGTGCTCTGAGACTATTGAAGGAAAGGTGTTGACCTGCATTGGAAGGGGTAGTTAATTTACCTGGGAGATCCCTATAACAATGAAATCTCAGGTCCAATCAATCTTTATCTCTACAACTTGACAACAATTTCTAAACAACCAGAATGCCAATTTTTAACACCAAATCATTTACTCTTCATCACCAGAGGAATGCCCAAGTAAAAAGTAAATAACCACTGATTATGGATTAAAGAGGTTATATATTAAGTAGGATGCTGAGCAATATAACCTTAAAGATCAACCCAGGTTTGACTCATTCTTTCAACTGCAAGGTCCAAGGCAACTTTAGGGACTAACACAGCCTCATTCTACTCTAAGATACTACCATCTTTCTTTTGAGAGGGTAATCATTGAAGGTCTTATCTTTTCATTACAACCAGGAGGAGAAATCTATCCACAGTATGTCAGGGACACAGCAACATACTAAATAAAAGGGATAAGGAGGAATGCTACATATAATCAGAAAATAAAATTTTAAGTATAATTCCAAATTATTACTGAATACTATTAAACTTCGAATGAAAAGTTAGACAAAGTCTAAATGAATAATGACACTTTTCTGTTCAACAAACTGGTTTACCCTGTAACAGGTCCAATATGGAAAATATTCTACTTGTATACCTGAGGATTTTAGCTTTATAGAATGCTGTGTAATACGATAAACTTTTAATGAAGATAATTATCTTCGTGTTATGTCATACTAATATGCACTCTCCTCAGATAATTATATATAAAGAACATTGTATTTCCTCATTGTTGTGTATAATCAGAAGATTAATTCATTTATGCAACTTTCAATTTTAAATTCAGATCTCCTAAGAAAAAAAAATCACTTCAGTTAATTGAATGTGGAAATTAGTTCATATTTTTATAGTATCTGAAAACTAGCAAGGGACTTAATATACCCAGTTGGGTTTCTATATTATTACAGCTCAGGTACACTTAAATAGAATTGAATATTATTTATTTATACTTTTAGTTCAATTAAGCCAAAACTACTGATAACATGATGTTTGGTATTAGTGTGTGCATGTCTGTGTTAATGAGTATCCCAATTTAAGAAATAAATGAATATTGAAATTATTGCTTTCCATAGAGTTGTAAACATTTTAAATAGTCAAAGCTATTTATTAGTGGTGAGTTAACTTATAGTAAATCATATAAATATTCACCAATATGTTTTAAGTAAACATTTGTCTATACAATATGATTAATAGGATTTACTTTATAAAAGTTTAAGCACTGGGTTAACTTTTTTTTTTATCACTTTTACCATTCTTTGAGATTAACATATTCTGTATCTGTTTACTTATATATTACATCCTTAATCAAATAAGGTCCTTAATTGAGAGATGTCATCATTAGCAAGAAATTAATTTCCATCTCTGTTTTTAATGTATGAATCAGTTACATAATTTAAATAAAATTTTCAACTCTAAAATGATATTAAATAAGTGTTAAAATAGCTTTCAACTGAACAGGAAAGCCATTTGAGAGTTAAGTTTTAGTATATCAATTAAAAGGCACCATAAAATTCATTTTGTTATAGTGAAAGTCAAGCTTTCTGAAATATATTTTATTATTAATATCTTTCATTAGAAACTCTTGAAGCATAACATATAACTCAATAAAATCTAATTCTAAAGCATTCATTTAGAAAGCTTTCCCTAACTCAGACGTATCTCTTTTCTAAATTGATTGGCAAGCTGTAGTTCTAGTTAGGAGGTGAAACTAGCCAAAATAGCTAGACCATGAATAGTAGTTTGCCAATCCAATCAAGATCCTGGCACCTTGGCTGTTAAGACTATCGAACAAATTTACCAGTCATGTCAGTTGGACAAGAAAACATACCCATTACCTAGCAAGCCATAAGGGGGATGCCAAGAAAATGAATTTTAATAACTTTGTTTTTGCTTTTATTTTGGTTTTAAGGGAGACTGACTGTGGTAGATATAATTCTTATTCCAATTTGTATAGTATCATGCAACAGCTATATAGTCAATTGGAATTGGTGATGATCTTATTGTATGCTTTATCAGGTGCTACAACTATTGAGAAGTATGACCTCAGAACAAATTTATGGATCCAGGCAGGAGTGATGAATGGCAGAAGGTTACAGTTTGGTGTGGCTGTCATTGATGAAAAGCTGTTTGTCATTGGTGGTCGGGATGGCTTAAAGACCTTGAACACAGTTGAGTGTTACAACCCCAAAACCAAGACTTGGACTGTTTTACCTCCAATGTCAACACACAGGCATGGTTTAGGTAAGGATATCAAAATTTAAAGATGTTATATTTTGCATTTGCTTTGGTTTATAATGTAAAATGCATGTTGAAATGTTCAACGACCATATCTTGTCAATTATTTGGAGGTGAATAATCTGAATTTTGGTTTTATCTGAAGCAAATCTTGATTTATAGCTAAATTGACGTAATAGTAACTCTGGTTGTTTATATATTTTGTTGACACTACCACTTCATCCATTTACTTTTACAATCAAGATGTAGAATGAAAGCCAGCAGGAGTTTGAACTGAAGTCCTTTTAAGACCTCTGCATTTCTTTTAAGTCCAAATTATGTTTATTATGTCTAGATCACAATAAAAGTAACATATTATTAAACTTACAGAAAAAAAGCAGTTCCTAGACTAGCAGAGTAAATTTGTCTGACAGTTCATGCTGTCTGTCATTGATGTGTAAAGAGGAAATTTGGGAAGAATCAAGTTAAGGTGCAACATTTTAGACCTTTGTAAATTAGCTATCTATGACAAATCATTTGGTTATTTTTATTGAGTTACTACAAAACTCTTTAAATTTTAAACTAAACAAAATATGGGATGTCTCAGCACCAGTAGAATGGCTACTAATAAACTGATTCTTTGGACATGGCAAGCAATAAAACAAACAAAAGAAAAGGGGGGGGGAAATGGTTCTCGGTGTTGTGTCTATCATGATGATGGCAGAGTGGCAAAAAAGAGAAGATGAGAAGAAATTCCAAATTTGTAACTTGTAAGTTTCATTTTAAATGTTGTTATCCTAAACATGAAATCCTTGTCCAGTCACCAAAGAGTTAACACAGTAATAGAAGAATTGAACTATGTCAATACTGTTAATCTTGCTGAAAATAAAACCAAAAGATTTAAGGAAGTTGGAGTTAACAGAAAAATGTCTCAAACTATTCTTTTGTTATTATCATAATCATCATAAATTCAAAGCTCAAAGAGACCTAAAAGTCCATCAGATCCTATCCTCTCATGTTAAAGATCAGGAAACTAAGGCACAGATTGGCTAAATGACTTGACCAAGGTCACACAGTGACTAAGTGTCTGAGACATGATTTAAAACCAGGTTTCTTCTTGATTCCACATGTAGTGCTGTAGTTAAAGGGTAGAGTTTGGTCCTTTACATTGAAATGCAGCAAGAAATATCCCATGGGACCTTTGTTCATCTTAATATTAAAAGCAAAATAAAAGTACTTCCATTAATATACCTTAAATATATGTGGATGTATCTTATCAAATGAAGGGAAAAGTAGGCAAAATCTTCCAATCAAGTCAGTATGTACAACACTGATACTTGGTGATTTCAAAGCATATGAGGAGAACACTGAAAACCATTTTAGAAAATGGACTTTAGGATTAGAGAACAAAAAGTCCAAAGGCTTGCAGATTTATAGAACTTTCTTACTGTATTGATACTACATATCAAAATTGTGTTACTATATCTGCTTCATCTCTTCATCTCATCTTTATATTCTTTTTTTTTTTTTTGGTTAGGCAATGGGGTTAAGTGACTTGCCCAATGTCACACAGCTAGTAAGTGTTATGTGTCTGAGGCCGGATTTGAACTCATGTCCTCCTGAATCCAAGGCCGGTGCTCTATCTACTGTGCCACCTAGTAGCCCCATCTTTGTATTCTTTCTGACCATTTCCATTTCTTCCTATATTCCACAAGCACTGAGGTGTTAAAGGTCAAATATGTAGTTTCTAATTTTACTAATGATGAATGTACTATTCACCTCCTATCTACCCAGAAACACATGCATATATGCTGACATATGCATATGTACATTTTAAAATTTTTATACCTCCCTTAAATTCTCTATGATCCTGACTGCAACTTCTTAGTAACTGAATTCTTTCTGGCCATAAGTAATGTTTTTTCTATGACCTGGAAGATTTGGATTTTGGTCATGATGATGTTGAAGGTTTTTATTTTGGGATTTCTTTAAGGAGGTAACTGGTAAAATTCTTTCTATTTTCACTTTGCCATTCTGGTTCTAAGAGATCTGAACAGTTTCACTGAAAATTTCCTGAGATACAATGTCAAGGCTCTCTTTTTTTGGTAACAACTTTCTGATAGTCCCAAGATTCTTAAATTATCTCTTTTCAATTGTTTTTCCAGTTCTGTTTTTTTATGAGGCATCTTGTATTTCCTTCTATTTTTCAGGCTCTTGTTTTAATATTTCTTGTGATCTCATGGAGCCATTAACTTCTGTCTCGTTCATCTAATTTTTAAAGATAAAATGTTATGTCTCTTGCGCTAAGCTGTAAATTCTATTTCCAGGAATTTATTCTATCCTCCATAGCTCTCATTGGTCTCCCATTTCTTTCCTCTACTTTTCTTATTTCATATATAATAACATTCTTTCTCTGCCTCTCTGTCTCTCTGTCTTTCTCTCTCTGTCTTTCTCTCTCCCCCCAGCCACTCACATACCCCAAGAAATCTAGATGAACTTGTTGTCAGGCTGTCTTTTTATTTGAGGTTTTCCAAGAAGATATTTAGAAGTCGTTTTCTTCTTGTGAAGTATTGTCTTGGGCATCATTGTCACCATAATATTTTTTATGGTGGGGTTCTTTTTTTCTTCATCTTTTTTCAAGCTTTACATCCTGAATTTGCACTTTACATCAGGGCCATGCCTATGCACTGCTGGAAAAAAACATTTGGGTGTTGTTCTGTCCTGCTTTATATTATATAGGTTCTTACTGTTGTAGAAATTGAGTACTATATTCTTCAGGGATTTCAGGGGCAGATTAAGCAGTGCACCCGCATGTTTTGGGTGAAGTCAAAGTAGGCTGATCCAGGGCAAAGTTTGGTTGCTTCCTTCCTGATCTGAACTTTGCAAGATCCTGACCTCTGTTTGTGTCTGAGCAACACAACTATAGGCTTGCACCTGTTTGGAGCTCCAATAGATTGCTGCTAGACCAAACTGCTGTTAACTAGCTAGAAGATTCTATAGATTCAGAGTGATAGAACTGTATGATTGCTCTTGGACTCAGTTCCTTTCCATAATTAGTCTTCTGCAGACTTCAAACTGGACTAAGGGATGTATCTGAAACCCTGCTCTGCTTCTATAGGCAAAGGCACACAACTGTTCCTTCCTTTTATTCCAGTTCCTTCTGCAATTCACAGCCTCAGTCCCATAACTGCTCTGTGCCCTTGTCCTCCACTCTCTACATTCAAGACCCCCCACTCTGTGCATATTGGATCTGTGAACCAGCTCTGGGGTATGAGGAACATAGCTTCCCTTTTATATATTTTATCTGTTCCGTACAAAGTATCAAAGCCCTTGGTTCTGCGACTAGGACCTCTTCTTGCCCTATTATGCAACTGATATCTTCAGTTTAATTTCTATACCTAAAGGGTTTTAGTTTTGTCTTTCTGGCCTGAACCCACTCCCCATTGTCTGAAAACTTCCTTGTTTGTCTCCTTGTACAGAGCATGACTAGAAAAAAAAAACAGCTTACTGTGATTTTTTCTTGAATTTACCAGTTCAGTGTAATGTGTTTTCTGGGTCTTGGTGTAGTATTTGTGGAGGAAAGCAGGGCTATACTGTCCTATACAACCTTGCCATGTCTTACGTGCACTTTTTCCTACTTGCTAATAAAAAGGAAATTTTAGAAGATATCACTTAGTCATGAATAGAAATTAGTAAGATGCTAATGAACTGGTATATGATGAAAATGATTAGGACATGAATCAATCTAACATAAATTTATAAAATAGATGTTTTCTTTAGCTTTCTTTAGTATCTCATCTTCTCCTAGAATCTAGGCAGCCTTCTATCTTCCTTTTTTTTTTTTTCCTACCTAACTCCACCTATAATATTATAGTTTGAGGAATCACTTACAGGAATATTTACATTTTAATAGAGCAATCATAAAAGTATTATTAAGAATATTTCCCCATTGATGGAATTTTGAGTCATAGCAGGCCAATGAATAAGATGTTTGTGTATAAAGGAGGTCCTTACTTATATCCCTTAAATCACAGCATATGTGAAGCTATTCACTAAAATGCTGGCAGTGATTAGAATGAAAAGGAGGAAGAGGATGATGACAATAACTACGATAAGAAAATACTTTCCAAGTATGCTTTTCCTACATTGAACTAATGGAAAAATATTAAAAAAAAAAGAACATAAATGAGATTTCATGTATTTTTTCTGCCCTATGAAATAAGGGAAATGGTGAGATATAGTAAAAAAAAGTTTTATTTGGAATTGGAGGACATGAACAAATCTGACTTTCTCATTTATTGTAAACTATATGGTTGGGCAAGTCACAAATTCTTTAGGCCTCCATTTCCTCATCTTTAAAATAAAATCTTTGGACAAGATTATCTCCCTGGTTCATCTTCCAACTCTAATCTTTGATCTCAAGATCTTTTGAACATTATGCCTTTATTGGTAATCATTTCCAAGGTGGTAAATTTTAAAGCAACTTCTAAGACATGAGGTTCATATTGCTTTAGAATGTCCCAACTATTGTACCCTACAAACATCTAATTTAACAGAGTCATTTCAGTGGAAAGTATCATGATCTACCTTACCATGATATCTGTAACCATTCCTATAGTTGCCTGAAGCAGCCTTATGTTAAATATATGTTAGACACAGTTTTAATTACATAATTTTGTTTAATCTGAGGTTAAGGTATCATTTAAATCTTTTCATTTCTAAATTTTAACTTTAAAAAAATGATGTGGAAGTACAGAGCCAAGATGGCAGGGTAAAAGCAGTGACTTGAGTTCTCCCCTAAACCCCTCCAAATACCTGTAAAAAATGGCTCTAAACAAATTCTAAAACAGCAGAACCCACAAAAAGACAGAATGAAACAAATTTCCAGCCCAAGACAATCTAGATGGTTGATTGGAAAAGTCTATTGCACCAGACTGGGAGAGGAACACTGTTCAGTGTGGGTATAGGCAAAGACCAGGCCTCAGCGAACTTGCAGCAGGCCTCAGAGGACTGAATCATGGGCAGCT